TTACTACTCTTCCATAATTCTATAGCTGAACAGAGAGAGTCAGGAAATTGGTGCATGGGCTGGTCCACCCAACTCATCAACACCAATAATGGTAAGTACCACACTTATGCCTGGACATAATCTAAGAAAGCTAACTAATCCATCATATTTACTAATAATCATAGTTATGATTGCACCCGCAGGATAAAACGACTTCAGGACAACACAAATCTGGTAACAACATACCTTTATCACTGATAAAAGTTTCTGCAATGTGCACATTCTTTACAAGTTAACACAAGTTCAGTGTTAAAAATATTTCTACATAACTCACAGGGTCTGGTCTTAAATATTACTACTGCATTTTCTAGATAATTTTGCAGAGCTGGTGGAAAAATTTCAGTTAGCTTTGTACAGGCACTATGAGAGTGGGGGTCAATCTCTATACAGATCCAAAGAGATGCAGGCATTTTGTGAAACCCATACACCACATCTCTTTGACATCCTTATCAGTTTATATGCACGCATAATGGCGGTCACGTTTTGCTGTAGCTCCAAGGTTCAAAGAGGTTTTCTACTTTTAGGCTTGGTTTTAACACATCTAAATGTCATCCATAATGCAGCTAAGTATCCTCTTCATCAGTACACTACCTTGATTGTACCAGAAACACTTAGTACTGCAATTGAGGGCGTTATTTGTCTTCGGACTCCTGCCGGCGACAACAACTTCAAGCCCGCGACTTCTGGCGGTTTTTGTAAACGCAAGGGTTCCTGGAGTTCATGCAGAGTTTTGTACTATGCAAACTCTGTGGCTACTACACAGATACTTTTACTTTCTGGTGATGTAGAGTTAAATCCGGGATGGCGAGGCATATCTACGGAAGGTGAAGATTATTTACTCAACTTTGCGAGTGAAATCAACCGTGGTTCAAATAATTTCAGTATAGCACAATTGAATGTTCGAAGCTTGAAGAACAAGATCGATGAAATCAAACTATTACTTAAAGTGTGTCGTTTCGACATTTTAGCAATTACCGAAACATTTTTAGACGCGAGAATATCGAACAAGCAACTACATGTGGATAACTATAAGATTGTTAGAAGGGACAGAAATACGGGACAGGATGGAGGTGGCTGCTTGATTTACATTGCGAGCCATATTTGTTATTCAAGGCTCAAATCCCTAGAGCCCCCTGATGTTGAATTAATCTGGATCAAAATTATGCATAATTCGTCTGCGTTGATATTAGGAAATTGTTATCGACCTCCTTCTGACTTCCAGTTCTACGAACGATTTTGTGATTGTCTGGAGAAAATGTGGCTTAGGCACAGGAATGTGGTGCTTGTCGGTGATTTTAACTCGGACTATTTTCGTAGCCACAAGGGTGTTACATCATACGCCGGTAGAAGATTACAAGATATACTCCAGCAATTCAGCTATAGCGTAATGAACGATAGGAGCCAGCCAACAAGAGTTACAAGTGAGACAAAAACACTGATTGACTTGGTTATTACCAGCAAGCCGGAGATTATCAAAGGAACTATTAAAACAACTGAGTTGGGAATCTCAGATCATAAGCTGGTTCTTGCTACAATATGGTCCAAAATAAAAAGGCCGCCTCCAAAGATAGTCAGGGCCCGCACCTTCAAAAGATTTGATCAAGCTACTTTTGTGAAGGATATCGAGAGTGCCCCGTGGTCAGTATGTTCAGTGTTTAACGATCCAGACGACTGCTATTGGGCGTGGTCACGCATATTCAAAGATATCTGTCAGGTGCATGCGCCTTACAGGGAAGTTAA